TTGAAAACACGCAGATCGAACTGCGACAGGGAATAGAACGGCAAATAAAAACATGCAACAGAAATAAATAAACAATATGCAACATTAGAAGTATAACAAAAATAATTTATTGCTTATAATGTGAATAAAAAGCCGAACAAGTGCGACACTTGCTTAGCGGCTCTCCTTATACGATTTGCTTGAATCGTTTCTAAGGAAGCACAAACCAAATGGCCTGCCCTTTTTAGAGCCATGACATATTTCAACAAGCAGCCAGTCGGCTGAGATAGCTCCGCTGTTAGCAATGCACATTTCAATAAAAGAACAGAAGATATCATTAGAAAATGAACAATATGTATTGTATCAAAGCAATGGGACTTGCTGTTTTCAACAAGAAGTTGAAAATATCACTTTTTACCAAAAATGACAAAAATATTCACCAAAATTAGAGAATTAAAGATATCATCAAGAAATGAACAAATCTGAGAGAGGTCCACATGTAGTACCTATATAAGTAATATCAAAGCAATTTGACTTGCGGTTTTTAACAAGAAGTCAAAAATATAACTTTTTACCAAAAATGACAGAAATATTCACCAAAATTAGAGAATTAAAGATATCATTACAAAAAGACTAAATCTGAGAGAGGTTCACATGTAGTACCTATATGGGTAATATCAAAGCAATTGGACGTGCAGTTTTTAACAAGAAGTTGAAAATATCACTTTTTATCCAAAATGACAAAAATATTCACCAAAATTAGAGAATTAAAGATATCATTACAAAATGAACAAATCTGAGAGAGGTTCACATGTAGTACCTATATAGGTAATATCAAACAATTGGACTTGCGGTTTTTAACAAGAAGTTGAAAATATCACTTTTTACCAAAAATGCCAAAAACTATTCACCAAAATTAGAGAATTGAAGATATCATCATGAAATGAACAAATCTGAGAGAGGTCTACCCAAGGTACATATACACCAAGTATGAAAGCATTCAGGCTTGTAGTTTTCAAGAAGAAGTCGAAAAAGTAAAACATTGACACGGACAACGGACTATGACAGACAATCACTCATATGATAAGCTCCGCTCGACAAAGTCGACAGTGGAGCTAAAAAGAGAACAACCATTTCTGTTTTAATATACATTTTCATAGACTTGCAGACTGTTATGATTCTGAAAAAAAAATCTTGAAAAATAAATGTAAACACGCTGCCCTGAAGGCAGAAAGCGAAATTACCTATTAAACGTTTTTGTTAATTTTTGTGTAGAAAAAGACCCCTGGGCGTATGCCTGATATGAGCTCAACTTCTTTATTGTGTCAAAAGTGGGGGGAGGGGGGCGTTTGCTCGGGCATGGGCTCTTACCCGGATAAATACGGTAATAGAGGTAAATACCACAAAGTATACCTTAAAATTATTGACATTTTCGGGACAGAATACTATGTCAAATAAACTAGTAAGCAATCCATGAAAAAAAAATCCAACCTCCATATGAAGACCACCTGTTTATAAATACCTTTTTAAGGTACAATGTAGTCTGCTACCATTAAAACATCAAAAAGTGTTGTGTGATAATTCACATACATGCAAGTCATTCATAGTTTTTAGGAGGAAAGAAGGATGTGTTTTCAAGAAATCCTATGCAAAATAATTCAAAAAGTGGCCATTTTGAATATTTTCCATGGATAACTAACTTGTACTATTCTTCATTTTTTTTGTGATTGCCATACGTAGCCTTTACAACACTACATATAATGTTTTTAGCATAGGTCACCAAACCAAATTTTAAAATATGTTGAAGTATTTCTGCCATAGGAACCAATTGTATACTACTCACAACACAGCCATTTGACATACACAGGTCACAAAATAGCTGCTAAATTTTGTTCATGGCACAGTTTACTCAAAATATCAAAAACTCTAAGTTTATTATTGTTTTATAATATTTACTTACCAATGTATTTGTTCTATAGTGT